ATCCTCAACTGGCAATCGGACTTTTATTCCATATTTCTACAGTATTTAAAGCAACGTATTTTAAGTGTATGAAGACAAAATATGAAACATTGATGTGCTACCTTCAATATGAAACACTCGTCACTGAAAATGAAGAAATTTTGGAAATTTTTGAGAAAGAAAAAGATGCCAGCCGAAGATTCAATAAAATATACGAAATAATTATGTTATTTGGTATTTTCGGTTTCACAGTTCCACCAGTAGCAATAGCTTTATACAATATTTTTGGAAATAGTAATGGCACACTGATTACTATAGAACTGTCGTTTCCTGTTTCATTACCTTACAAGATGGATACAGTGAATGGGTATACGTTAGGTGCCGTTCATATGTTTGTTGAAATTCATCTTATCGGGTTCGCATTTATTGCAATGGATGTTTTGATAGCTGGATTGATGAGAACTATCATTGCTCATTTGAAATGTCTTGCAAGACAATTTTTAACCATTCAAGCCAAAAACGACGTAAAAGGTCAAGTAAAGGAGGATGAGTTTATAAAGGCTATACAATATTTACAACGAATATACAAGTATATAATTCATTCATTTTCATCTTAGCGGATTAAAAATTAACATACTAATATTAATAATTCCAAGTTAAATTAACTTTTTTAAAATGAAATCATTTATTAAAGCAAAAGGGTTACACGACATCCATAAATCCACTTTAAAAGAATTATCTTTATTTAGTTATTATGCACATCAACGATATCTTTACATATTTATCATTTTAATTTCGAGAACATTTATGAGAGAAGCAAAATATGATTACACTTGAGTTTATTTTTAGAGGACAACGTGATCTCGAAAATCTTCAAAATGTTGTGCTTTTTATACAATATGTATGTTCAATTGCAATACTTGCTGTGGGTTTATACAGAAATACTAAAGTGAGTATGACTGCGTTTTTAACTGACGTGTATCGTATTTATTACAATAACTAATTATACCTAATCAGTTCTTACGTGTAACATAAACCGCAGACTAAGGGAGTTGTAGTAATTAGAATAATTATTTTGAAGGACTTCAAAGTGGATCTCGCCCTATTGAAATCATGCGGTTTTTTTATAATAGTCTTATTCCAACCATTTCTGTATTGTTACTTTGGAGATATGGTTACTAGAGAGGTAAGTAAAGGCAAGAGCTTAAAAATGTAGTTAGCTTTTAAATAATTCACGATATTGTACTTTGTATATGTATAAGTTAAGCTAAAGTAATTCATTTGCATATTATTTGTACTATCTAACTATTAAGTACCTATAGTGTCAACATTATTTAGACAATGTGATTATTGGGGCAGAATTAGTCAAATATTCCAGCAATTTTACAAAATATCCAATAAAAATTGGATAAAGTAATAAATCACAATACTTCAGCTTATTTTATATTGCAAGGGTAGGTACAATTAAGGAGGAATGAAGAGTATAATCGAAAGTCAATGGAACTTAAAAAAGAAGGACACTATAATTAGCAAAACCAATAAAAACTAACACAATTGTTCTAGGCTTTTTGCGCTAACGTCTTTCTTTTTGACATCATTCGACGTTTGATTATCAGTTTAATTAATATGCATAATATTCATTTAATCACATTGTCTATAACATATGCAACCGCAATAATAAGTTACACAAGCACGACTTAACGCTGGTTCAGTATCATGAATTTCATTCCTACTAGGTTGAGAATGTAAAAATGGCTTTATACGAAAGTGATTGGATCGGTAGTCGATTAAGATATCAGCGGCTTATGCTCCTTACGTTAACACGATTGAACCGACCCTTACTCTTCACCTGTGGAAAACTAATGCCACTGAGCAAATCTACCTTTATTTCAGTAAGTAAAATAATCTTCTCCAACACAACTTAAAAAAAATCGAAATTAACAAATTGAATTAAAAAAGCTTTTATTTACCATAGGCAATAAGTCTGTTTCTATTTCCGGAAATGTTAACGTTGACAAAATAAACCATAAGTATGTTGTTCTCTTAATTTCAGATTGTTAAGACGGCGTATTCTGCATTCAACTTACTAAAGCGTTCAAATCATTATTAAAATTATGGTTCAGGTTCAGGAACATTTAAGCACATGGATATATAAGCTATTTATATGTATATCTGTATAGGAAATACGTTGCTTCGATGTTTTATTAGCCCATATTATGTAGAAAATAAGTACTGTGTATTTTAAATCAATTATTGTACATTGTACAGTACCTCTACAAATAAATGCTGAAGTAGATCAATAATTCTAAGAGAAAAACGTATCTTGATTTTCATAAAAAGATGTGAATACAAAATATCTTGTTAGACTTGGATAAACTAATAAAATAAAATTTCTAAATGATTTTTATTTTAACTGAACAATTTACTTTACTTTTTTGTTTTCTATACGTCGGGAACAGTATTCTCTTTTTGGATGTCAGTTTCTGTACCCGTGGCAATGTGTGTACATACAAAAAATCATGATAATCGGTGGACTAATTAAGGCGTGAAATTGTTACAAACAAACTCACATACGCATTTATAATATTATTCAAGATTACTGGGGTAAATGGAGTCATGAAGGAATCATGACTTTAGTCGAAAGTCGAATGAAGTTAGAAAACCAATAAAAATACACGCAGAAAACTAAACTTTTATGGCAACGCAAAAAAAAACAATTTTCGATTGTAAATGACCGAATTTTTCCGTAGAAATTATAGAATTTATTAGGTAATTTATAATAATCTCAACTTTGACATGTTTCTTTAAAAATTATTTCGTTTCTTAATTATTACAATTAAATTTGTACGATCAACTAAAATACCAAGTAAATTTATTTCTGTTGGGATTTTATTTTTATAAATTCGGGTCCAAATTGTAAATTTTATTATTTTCGCTTACAAAGCAACGGGCTAGTGGGATAATTGTAAATATCGCTTTAATATTTAGGTAAATTTTCGTTTTTCATTTTCTCCGTGTAGCGCTGTTTATTGGGATTAAGTCAATTATAGTTACCCCAGGTTTTTTTCTGCTTTTTTTATTTTTAAATTCATTCGACTATATCCCTTAAATTTATTAGTTTAACCAACCCCAAATGGCTTAATTTATAAAAATATCTATTACTCAATTTAGTCGCTATGCTTATCCTTAGTGCCCAGTCATTATGTGCAGATAATCACCTTTTCACATTAGGTATCTGTAACATACGTTATACCCTTATTAGTGTTGCTTAAACTTTTTTTTATGATGTGTGTAGGTAGATAAATGTGCTGCCGAAGTGCGTGATGAAACTTTAACTTTTCAATTCCGCACCTTTCAGAACTTGTTAGGCATTGAATGTATTTCAAACTGTCACTTAAAGTGATCCTGCGCCGAACTTTTTAGATCTCCTTGTTCTCTTCGCTTATTTCTTCCAACAGCACTCTACAAAATTTGATTTTATCGTTGTTCGAAGGAAGATAAAGAAGACTTTCTTGGGTTCCCTAATAGAATCTTAATTTCCCTCAGGAATATCAATAGTTATATGTTCTTATACAAATCGATAGTGACGATCATAGATAGATACATTTGCATAGGGTATGCCGAAATGAAATCTAAAATTTATTTTCACGTTGCTTTTTATAAAGGTAATATCTTAGTTTTAGGTATGTATGTAGGAGAGGCCGGGGCTATTTGACTAACTTTTTATCATCATCATCATCATCATCATCATCATCAGGGTCGTCAGTCCTAAGACTGGTTGGACACGTACCTCCACTTTTTCCTATCCTCAGCTAAACTTCGCATTTCCCTAAGACTAAAACAGCCCACATCCTTAACTATTTGCGAACAGTAATCTAATCTAGGTCTACCTCTACCCCTCCTAACTCCTGTTTCTGCCTCTAATATGTCTCTGACTAGACCTTCATGCCTGA